TCAGATTCCTTTTAGCAGGAGATGATTTTAACCTTTCTCCTCTATACACCCCTTTCCAAACCGTTTCTAGAATGCTGAAATTAGAACGAAACTTAATGCTCATTTAAGGCAAATTCTGCTCATTGTACCTCAACCCAGGGAAGTCTTGCCCAGGAGTAGCAGTCTGACCTGACTCCTCAGGATCACCTCATCATCACCAGTGGTTCTCAACCTTCCTAATGCCGCAACCATTTAATACAGCTCCTCATGTTGTCATGGCCCCCAACCATAAAATTATTTTCGTTGCTACTTCATAACTGTCATTTTGCTAATGTTAATGAATCGTAATGTAAACATCTGTGTTTTCCTAGGGTCTTAGGCTCTACAGCAGCGGTTCTCAACCTGTGGATCGAGAACCACTAGCAGGGTCACCTAAGACCATCGGACAACACATGTTTACATTACGATTCATTAACATTAGCAAAATGACAGTTATGAAGTAGCAACGAAAATAATTTTATGGCCCTGACCAGTTTGGCTCAGTGAATAGAGACAGCATCAACCTGCAGACTCAAGGGTCCCAGGTTCGATTCTGGTCAAGGGCATGTAACTTGTTTGCAGGCATATCCCCAGTAGGGGGTATGCGGGAGGCAGCTGACTGATGTTTCTCTCTCACCGTTGTTTCTAACTTTATCCCTCTTTCTTCCTCTCTGTAAAAAATCAATAAAATGTATTTAGAAAAAGAAAAAGAAAATAATTTCATGGTTGGGGGTCACCACAACATGAGGAACTGTACTAAAGGGCCAAGGCATTACAAAGGTTGAGAACCACTGAAACCATCATCTAATTGGTTTTTCTCTTATCCCCTCCCACCCTGTTCAACAATAATTAAGAATTGCTGATGTTTTCTGTGGAAGGGAAATCTGGGATTGTATTAGCAACCTCTTAAAAGGTCAGGGCCTTTTGAAGAGATAGCTGGTCGACTCTTTGAGAGGGGACAGGAGGTAAATGAGGTACCACGTCTTAGACACCTGCTTATCATTTCTGTTACTTCTGGTGGGTCAAGCAGGGGGCTTTCAACAGGTCCTATCCCTGAAGGCTCATAAAGCGCGAGTGTGTTTGTAAGAACCACTTGGGGGTTTATGGTTTTGTGGATGTGAGTTTATATTGGGAAGTTCCTGGGTTCATAACTGCAGCCCTCCTGGCTCAAAACTCCGTGCATGCTTTGGCAGCACGTACACTAACATGGGAACGATACGGAGAAGATTAGCATGGCCCCTGCACAAGGATGACACGCAAACCCGTGAAGCGTTCCATAATTAAAAAGAAAAACTCGAGGTGGGCCACCACATTGTCTGATTTCTTCCTTTTATGGTTTGGCGTATAACACTGCTCATATTCACTAGGACTTCACTCTGATCATGCCCCCTCCCCCTTCCCCCCAAAATACCCCAAAACTTCTCTTTGTTTACTTTTTAACAGTTTTTGTGCTGAAAGTATTTAGTTTTCTAACACCTATTAGACCACCTTTATTTTAGATTCCATAGAGGCAGAAGCAGTTGTTCTTAATAATTTTGTAACATAGTGACTAAACAGTTTGTTTTTTATTGACTCTTAATCATTTCCTGTGCCCTGCCTTTCTGTGTGTGTGTGTGAGAGAGAGAGAGGGAGACTGGATTTGACTATCACCAGTTATTCATTTGCCTCCCTGAGGAGCCCTAGGTCCTGGTTCAGTTTAGCACAAAATGACTCTTGTACAGAATGTACAGACATTGTAAAGAGAACTTTGAGAACTAATGAGGAATGGGTAACAGATAAAGTGCTCAAAGACATATGAGGGCAAGGGAGGCAGGGGGATCTGACTGCAGCATGGCGGGGAGGAGGGGTGTGGCCAGAGCTCTGGTGGTTTCAGCTCCCACAGTCCTTGGAGTAGGATAGCACACTCGCCTCTCGTACAAATAATACACAATCCGTGCTGTTTCCCTCCCTGTGTCATCTGGTGGAGCTCAGAATTGCTATGGAAACAAATGGGACCTCGCTGGGGAGAATCTCATTGAATCCCACTCTCTCGCGGGAATCTCCTTGCTTCCTCTGTTGCTTCTATTGCAGTTTACCTGGGATCCCACAAACCTTAGCTGGCCTAATTTTTAAATGCAACTTGAGATCCTATGAGCTGAGTTCCCATAATTTATGTTAACTTTGTTCTCTACTCAGGTCCTCAGCAGGAGGGATAATGGTGTCTGAGTGGGATAGATAACAAGTTAGAGTTCCCAAAGTGGCTGATCAGACTCCTGGCTAATTGATTAGATGCCCAAAAACTATGGCATTACCTTGCCTGCATACAAGCTGTCATTTTACCTTTTTAAAAATACTTGTGAAGTGGTTCTGCAAATCATAGATTTCTCAACAATTAACTATGGTTTTATTTCCCCTGCTAAAATAGCCTGTATAATAAAAGAGAAACATGTAAATTGACCGTACCTCCACTACACTCACCAGCCAATCAGGAGTGAGTATTCAAATCAACCTGACAAAGATGGTGGGTTAATTTGCATACATAGGTGCCAGGCGGAGAACAGAGTGGGAGGGGAGAGCCGGCAGAGAGTGGAATGGCTTGGGGAACTTGGCTCCCCAAGCTGCCAGATGGAGAGCAGAGAGGGAGAACTGGTGGCTTGGAGGACTTGGCAGAGAGGGAGGCCACGGGATGGAGACAGAGCAGAAAGGGAAAATGAAGAGCGCAGGGAGCACCAGGAATTCTGGGAATAGTGGTTCTCGTGGCAGCCCCAGGACTGGAAGCAGAAGCCCAGAGCAAGGGGAGCACCAGGAATGGTGTGAATCGTAGGTCTGGTGGCAGACAGATCTCCTAGACACTAGAGCAAAGTGAGCCTGGAGCAATTTACTGTTGTGGTGGGGGATGGAAGGAAAGCAAAGGTGAGAGACATAAATAAAATCAGAGTGTCTAGGAAAAATTAAAGAGAAGATAACTTAAAACTTCCAGGAAATCTCCACCAATGAAACAAAGGGGGGAAAGCCTCTATTATTCTGCGAGCAACAAACCAAACTGGGTATGTTGGTCTCAGCCAATTCACTCATATGATTGCAAAGACAGACATAAACTCCCAGATTGGAATGGGCTCCCCTGAGGGCTCCCAGATTGGAGAGGGTACAGGCCGGGCTGAGGGACCCACCTCCCTGCATGAATCTTTGTGCACCGGGCCCCTAGTTTAACAATAAAGAGATAGAGAAGGGGGCAGTAACAGAGCCATGAAAGGGAATTTGGGCATGGTGACCAAGTCATTCAAAAAAGTCAGGAGAGCCAAATTAGTATGGCTCAGTGGTTGAGTGTCAACTGATGAACCAGGAGGTCACGGGCTCAATATTTGGGCAGGGCACATGCCCAGGTTGCAGGCTCAATCCCCAGTAAGGGTGAGGGGGGTAGGGTGCTGCTAGAGGTAGCTGATCAATGATTCTCTCTTATTATTGATGTTTCTCTCTTTCTCTCTCTGAAATAAATAAAAATATATTTTTTTAAAGATCGAGAAATTCTTATTCTCATATTCCAATTCCTTTTTTTAAAAAAATATATTTTATTGATTTTTTACAGGGAGGGAGAGAGATAGAGAGCTAGAAACGTCGATGAGAGAGAAACACCGACCAGGTGCCTCTTGCACACCCTCTACCGGGATGTACCCGCAACCAAGGTACATGCCCCTGACCGGAATTGAACCCTGTACCTTTCAGTCTGCAGACCTATGCTCTACCACTGAGCCAAACCGGTTTCGGCTCAATTCTTGTTTTCTATCTATTTTTAATGCTTAACAAAATCCAGAAACCATCTAAATTACTAGGTTATCAGACCAGCAGGATATCCTGGAAAAAGAAAACAATCCTCTGAATAAAAAAGCAGGAGAAGGCCCAAACATTCACCAGTAGGGTGGGTTAAATACACTTCAGTGCATTCAGGTTATAAAATAGAATGAGAATGCTCTCTATTTACCAACATAGAAAAATCTCCAGAATATTAATGTTGAGAGAGAGAGAGAGAGAGAGAGAGAGAGAGAGAGAGAGATTGTGTGTGTGTGTGTGTGTGTGCAGCAAGTGTGTAGAACATGCAAATATTTCTGTAAGAAAAGGGAAAATATGAATTAATTTTGTATTTGCTGTTATCTGCATAAAGAAACTGAAGGATACACAAGCAACAAGTAAAAATATTTATTTCTGTAAAAGACAAGGCAGAGAGTGAGTGGGAATTAGACTTTATTATACCTTTGTATAGTATTCTAATTCTTTTTTTTTAATATATTTTATTGATTTTCTACAGAGAGGAAGAGAGAGGGATAGAGAGTTAGAAACATCGATGAGAGAGAAACATCGATCAGCTGCCTCCTGCACACCCCCTACTGGGGATGTGCCCGCAACCAAGGTACGTGCCCTTGACCGGAATCGAACCTGGGACCTTTCAGTCCACAAACCGACACTCTATCCACTGAGCCAAACCGGTTTTGGCCTAATTCTTGAATTATGACTGTATTACCTATTCAAAAATAAATTTTTTTTAAGAGAAGAGGTGCACTGTTAGATAAGGGATAAATGAAACCTGATCTTGTTTAATTAAGCATATTACATATGTGATTTCAACCATTAAGTTTTAGCCTGTGTACCCTTTGGAGTAGGGTCATTTGCAGGACCATATATTTTGAGGAGGAAGGTGATAATATAATTAGAACCTGTTTGGCAATTTCAGTTCTAAACACTTGGGTAGGAAATTGGAAAGGCAAATCTGCATTTAAACTGTTTAGCTTCTTCTGACCTCTTAGATTATTATTTTTTTTTAAATCCCCTCCCTCCCCCAAGTAATTGAAAGCCTTAAAACATGATGGTTAGGATTCACAGTGGAAATCTCTTGCTGATGCCTCGGTGAACATAGTGGGAAAGTGAACTCAAATTATGGTCTTAGCCTGTTTTTATTTAAGTTTGCATCTAGAGAAAGTGTTGTACAGTCTGTGCTTTTATTTTTACAGGAGCAGAAAAATTCAGATTAGAAACATCCCTCCTCACCTGCAGTGGGAGGTAAGCCAGTGTCACTTCTGTTTTTACTGTCCTCTCGCTTTCATTCCTCTTTCGGTCCCCTTTCACAGTTAGGATTGGAGGTCCTCAGGCTTGTTGCACCTTTCCCGGTGCCCAAATGTGCACGATCTGCCATGTGTTTGGGGTGGTGTGTGTCCCTCTCATCAGGCAGAATGTGCGCTTTGATCTCTCAGGTTCTGTCTTCTCAAACATCAACACTCTGTAAAACAAAATGTATAGTTGGGTTGTGATATATATATATATATATATATATATATATTATTGATTTCAGAGAGAGGAAGGGAGAGAGAAAGAGAGGGTTAGAAACATCAGTGATGAGAGAGAATCATTGATTGGCCGCCTCCTGCACAACCCTACTGAGGATTGAGCCCACAGATTGGGCATGTACCAGGACCGGGAATTGAACCATGACCTCCTGGTTCATGGGTGGATGCTCAACCACTGAGCCACACCGGCCAAGCATGGTTTGTGATTTTTATCTCATGATTTCGTAAAAAATTTTTACCTTTCTAAATTATTATTTTGGCGGGGGGAGAGGTGTTGAAATCCATGGAAAACCAATAGTTTTGTTAGTTGGAGCAGGCTTTTTGTTTATTTTGAATTAACTGCTTTGAATAACAGTTAAGATATATTTTCTGAATTGTAAAACTTCTTATAAGATTGCTACCTTCAGATAAATGGACACATGGAACAGACTGACAGAGATCAGAGGGGAGAGGAAGGGGACTGGATAAATGAAAGGAAAAGAGTAGCGAAAGAACATACATCATAGCCATTAGACACAGCAGTGGTGAAGGCCAGAGGAGGGGTGGTGGGAACTGGATGGAGGTGGGCAAAGGGGGGCAAAGGGAGAACATCTGTAATAGTGTCAACAATAGAAACATTTAATGCCCCGGCCGGGTTTGCTCAGTGGTTAGAGTGTTGGCCCGAGGATGGAAGGGTTGCAGGTTTGATTCCTGGCCCCGGTCATGGTGTAAGTGGGAGGCAACCAATCATTGTGTCTCTCTCATGTCAATGTATCTTTCTCTCTCTCCCCATAATCTCCCTCCCACTGTCTCTTAAAAAAATCAATGAAGCGGGGGAATGGTAAGATACGTACACAGATAATAATTTAATAATTTAAAAAACCCTAAAAAATAAATTTTAAAAAATCAAAATCTAAAAAAAAAAAAAATCAATGGAAAACATATTTTCAGGTGAAGACTAAAAAAAATAATAATAAATAAATTCGATTGAATATAAGGAGTGGCATTATTGCATTATTTAAAAATAAAACTGCCTGATATTTTATACCCCAACCCAAATGAAATCAAAATAGCTATAAAGGAAAGATAATGTTCAGTCTAATATATTTATTACTTTAAAACTTTTTTAAAAAAATGTATTTTTATTGATTATAGAGAGAAAGGGAGAGGGAGAGAAACAGCAGTTGGCTGTCTCCTTCACGCCCTCCACTGGGGGCGTGTCTTGACCAGCAATGGAACCTGTGACCTCTTGGTACTTGGGTTCACACTCAACCACTGGACCACACCAGCGAGGCAACATATTCACTACTGTAAAAAAACTTTCATTATGGAAAATGTCAAACATGCACGTCCCACTGTTCTGTAAAATAAGGAGATTCCTAGAGAAAACCAAAGGAAGAATGGTTAAAGCTTTCAAGAAAAAGAGAGCCTTGTATTTGATTCTGCTTCTCATTTCAAGAGCAGAAAATAGGCCTCAACCATCACAATGAATGTGACTGACAGTTACTGAGGCTGAAATGCTGGTGTCATGTCAGGAGACAGATTACTCGGAACCCAGTAAGAAATGAAAGTCCCACGTATTTATTCAGTTCCAGCCGTTTTTATGGAAGACTTGAAACATCAATGTAATTGTGTTAGTCCTCTCCCTGTTCTTGTTTTGCTATATAGTTCATCTGCTTGGGGAGAGCACTGTACCATTTTTGTGAGTACAATCTTGTTTTCCCATTCTGACATTGAAGCTCTCTTTTTCAGGTCTTGGATGGACTTTTGGCTCAGTATGGGACGGTGGAGAATGTCGAACAAGGTAATAAGTGAGGAAATTTGCCAGTGAATGTAGAGAGTGATGTTATCCATTATTTCTTGTAGGTTGGGTCAACTCCTGGGAAAAAATAATAACTCCTTTGAAACAAACAGGCTTCTTAGAGTATATGTTTGTGTATCTATGTGTGAGAGATGTCTATATATAACCTATCTACCCATATCTATATAATTTGTTTTTTCAAGGAATATGATTTTCAGGCTATTTTTTAATACTCTGTAATGTGCTCAAGCATGGACAAATACTGCCAGGCTGGGATAAGCGTAATTCACTTGGAAGTAGTTGGATTTACACTAGTATAACAACTTCCTTCCTCCTGGCTAAAAATAACAATCTCTAATGTCTTGGACGGAGTGTTTCTCAAGAAGGAGGACTCCTATGCCAGAATCCCCTGGGAGTGGTTGTAAAAATGGATATTCCTAGGGCTCCCCCTAGACCTACAGACAAGACTTCCTGGGGCAAGAGTTCATGCATCCGTATTTTAACCAGTACTCCCACGTGGTTTTTGTATGTATTCAACTTAGAGAGCCACTGTCTTGGGAACAGCAATAAATGCCCACGAGATACGTCCTCTTCTGCCTCCCTTATTTTTGTTTTCACCTTCTAAAACATGGTGTGGGTTAGAGAGCGATTGGAACACTCCCTGGGCAAAGGCGGGGACTGGGCTCAGTTTATGATGCGTAAATCTCGGGGGCAGTTCCTCCCTAAGGCTTACACATTCCCTAAGACTGTGGCTGCTTTGAAGTTATAGGGTAAACTATATTTTTAACCATGGTCTTTAACCTTTTTGAGAATCTTATGGAAACTATAAACCGGGAAAGTTCCTATATCCACAAATTTGAGTCTTTGGGTGGGGTAGGGAGAGTCAGGTTATAGAATTCCTAAAGCTCTACTATAGTTACAAGATTAAGAATCCTTACACTACAGGGTCTTATTATTACTTTGAAAGGGAGCTCTATTGTGGTTTTCTTGAATTAGCCTTAACTTAATGTTGTTGTTAACTCCAGGTCTCCCAATAGCTTAAAACATTTGAAGGGTGGGTTTGATTTAGTCATGTCTGCTTGATCAATATTTTTGCTTTAAGTTTACTAGCTTGAATTGAACAAATTTTATCTTGCCTTTTGAATTTATTTTCAACTTCTGACTTTGGATGAAGAAGCAAATGAAAGATAAGCCAACTCACAAAATGATTTCTTATTAGAGTTTATGTGTTCTCTCCGTTAGCCAAGTGAGTTGGATTGCCATTTTTCTTAGAAACAAAAGGAGTAACTCAACCTTATCAATGAATAAAGAATAAAAATAAAAATACCTTCTTAGTTTTTACTAGAGGCCTGGTGCACGAAATTCATGCACAGGGGAGAGGGGGATGTCCCTCAGTCCAGCCTGCACCCTCTCCAATCTGGAATCTCTCTCACAATCCAGGACTGCTGGTTCCCAACTGCTCACCTGCCTGCCTTCCTGATTGCCCCTAACTGCTTCTGCCTGCCAGCCTGATCACTCCCTAACCACTTCCCTGCCAGCCTGATTGATGTCTCACTGCTCCCCTGCCAGCCTGTTTGCCACCAACTTCCCTCCTCTGCTGGCATGGTCACTCCTAACTTCCCTCCCCTACAGGGTTGATTGCCCCCACTGCCCTCCCTTGCATGCCTGGTACCTCTCAGTTGCCTTCCCTTGTAGGCCTGGTCCCTCCCAACTGCCTCCCCCTGCTGGCCACCTTGTGGTGGCCATCTTGTGTCCACATGGGGGCAGGATCTTTGACCACATGGGGGCAGCCATCTTGTGTGTTGGAGTGACACAATTGTCCAATGCTTGAGCACATTACACAATCTGCATTTTACTCTTTTTTTAGATAGGATAGAGACCTGGTGCATGGGTGGGAGCCACCTGGTTTGCCCTGAAGGGTGTCCCGGATCAGGGTGGTAGTTCCATTGGGGCATGAGGAGGCCCGGGCAAAGGGCCTGTGGTGGTTTGCAGGCCGGCCATGCCCCTTGGTGACCCAAACAGAGGGCCTGGTATCTGGAATTTATTTACCTTCTACAATTGAAACTTTGTAACCTGGACCGGAGCCTGCTGCTCCATTGCCATTTGTGTTTGGTTTTAGTATCTTCTATAATTGAAACTTTGTAGCCTTAAGCAGAGACCTGGGCCTGCCAGGGTGTACAGAAAGTTTGGCTTCCTCCATCGCCCAGGGCAACCCTAGCCTCCTGCTCTTTCCAGCTCCGTGGCTGCTGCCATTTCTGTTGGAATTTATTTGCCTTCTATAATTGAAACTTTGTAGCCTTGAGTGGAGGCCGAGGCCAGCAAAGGCAGGCGGAAAGCTTGGCTTCCTCCATTGCCAGGGAAACTCAAGCCTCCCTCCTGCTCTCTGTGGTCGCAGCCATCTTGGTTGGCATTAATCTGCATACTCACTCTGATTGGCTGGTGGGTGTGGCTTGTGGGTATAGAAGAGTGATTTTAATTTGCATATTACTATTTTATTAGATAGTATATATATCCAGTTATTTAAAACTAAATGCAAATGATAAATAAAATTTATACCTTGATAGTGGTATAATAAACAGTTACAAACTTTTAAGAAAGTAATGTGAAATTATATATTAAAAGCATTGTATTCTTTTACCCAGTTTATTTTTTTCTTCTGTGATTGGCTTTAAAAAGTAATTCAAAAAACCTAACATTAATGATGTTTGCAACGTATGTGGTTTTCAACAACACTTATTTTGCAATAGCAAATACTGAAAACAATCCTTTGGTTAACATTTGAGGGATGGTCAGGCAAAAATCATGGCAGAGCTGCCCTAGCCAGTTTGGCTCAGTAGATACAGCATCGGCTTGGGGACCACAGGATCCTGGGTTCGATTCCGGTCAAGGAATATGTACTTTGGTTGCAGGCTCCTCCCCAACCTGGGCCCTGATCAGGATTCATGCAGGAGGCAATCAATCAATGTGTTTCTCTTATATTGATATTTCTATCTTTTCCTCTCTCTTCCACTTTCTCTAAAATCAGTGGGAAAATATCCCTAGGTGAGAATTTAAAAAAAAAAAATCATGTCACAGCTATTGCAATTTTATGTAGGCATTAAAAAAATACAAAAAAATGTACATGTAACCATGCAAAAGTGTTTAAAAAATAAGTGAAAATATAGCTTTGAGTTATATATAAATTGATTACAAATGTATTTATACAATAGGTTACAAATCATTATGAATATAAATAAATAGAGATTCAAGTAACTCTAGAGTTGGGGCAATTAATTATTTTGTGCATTTTTCTCTCAAATAAGCCTGCTTACATTGAGCCAGAGGGCAACAGCTTTTTTCTCTATGACAATGTAGTTTCTGCTTCTTCCCCAGTCAACACAGACACAGAAACTGCTGTTGTTAACGTCACATATTCAACCAGAGAAGAAGCAAAAACGTAAGTGCATTTGGGCTTCCTTACATTTTTGAATGGTTATCTTTGAATTCCATTGAGTCCTCTGTCTATAAACCTTTTTGAAAAGATGTAGACCTTTGACGTGTCACTGGAATTCCAGAGCATTTATACCAGGATGTCTCTTTGTTGACTTGCACAGAGACTTTATTTTGAAAAATATTGAGTTGTGGCATCAAAACCGAGGTGGGAACGTTCTTGGTCTGGTTAGGAATAGAGTGCCAGCTTGGGCCTAGACTCTGCTTCACCACAGGAGCCACTTTTTCCCGGAGTTTCCTCCAGGCACCGGGATAAAGCAGCACAAACCTTGTTTTTCACCCACACTAATTGAATGGCACTAAAACACCCATTTTTCCTCTATTAAAAGGGGGATCCACCTTAGTGACATCAGCCGCAAAGAGAGGTGTCTGGAGGATATCAATCCAGGAGCACCTGGCTTGGGTTCTTTTTCCTACCCCCATTCACTCCCTGGTTTCCATTCACGACTAAAGTGCTTCAGTGGTGGTTGCTTTTGAGCTTGACTATTAACGGACATGGGATTGAGGTTTTCAGAAAAACAACAAAAATAAGTTCCTTTTTATAGCAAGTTCTTGAAGTGCCTATCAGGGCACTGTAACTAGAATACGGTCATGATTGGTTATACATCCCAGGATTACAGATTTATTTTTCAAGGTTCAACACACATGAAGACGGTATATAATAGTAAAAGATTGGAATTTATATTTATTTATATACTGGTATTTTTTAAAAAAAGTTAACTTTGTGTTGAAAAAGGCAGTGATTCATTTGCTACTCACTTTTGCGCACACCTATACCAATGACTCACCTTTGCAGTTCTTGTTCGGCTGCCACTTTGGTAGAACCTTTCTACACATTACTTTGCTGCTTTTATTGAATTCAAAAGGTGCTGCTTTGTAATAAATTCAAAACCTTGCACATTAAGCTAGTTTAATAGGGTTATTATTTTCACAGGCTGCCAAAAACATGTAAAAAAAAAAAAAAGTTCCACATCATGTATAATGTTTAGAATGCAATAGTGGGATTGTTTATTCCCTCTCAAATTAATAAATATTTTTAGATAATAATATTTTGTGCTTTTGAGGACTCAAGGAAACAAATGCTGTTTTAACTGCTCTAGGATAGTAAACGTTGACACCTGTCCAGATGGACACGGGGTCATGCTAATGCTAGAGTTCTGCAGTTCCACTAGGAATTTATCCTGTGTGCCCAGTTGTAGTTGCAAAGATGTCCCTGGCAACATTGTATATACTAGCAAAAGACTGGACTTCATATATATATAAAACAATGGAGGATCATTTGCAAAAATTATGATAAATCAATAGAATGTTAAATAGCTGGTAAAAATTAAATTGGAGAATATTTAATGACTCGGAGAATGTGTAGAATACTAATGTTTTTTTTATAAAGGTTAGAGAAAAGCATGTATGATATTATCGATAATTTATTTTTGTAAATACTATATTTCTGTTTAAGAAAAATAAGATAGATATTGCTGTCAGGACTTTTTGTTATTTGTGGTTATCTATTTCTGAGTTTTCAATAGTACATACATACATACTATGATGGTCATAATTTTATATTGGTATTAACAAAAAGTCCTTGATAAGGGGAGGCAGCCCTGGTTGGTGATAAATAGCGGGATGCGTGATTGTATAGCAAGTGCGACCAGGCCTGTGGACTGTGACTGGTGTTCATTGTCAGCGTGAGCTCCCAGGGGGCGGGCGGGGGTCAGAGGGCTCACGCTGGTCCTCGGTGAGGACGAAGGGCACTTGGACAGGCGAGAGAGAGTGAGGGTGAGGACCGGTCCGCTGGCCGGGAGGGCCTTCTGGCCGCTCCTCTCTGACGGAGCCCGCCTGCTTCTCCTGCGTTTCAGAGCCATCGAGAAGCTGAGCGGGCATCAGTTTGAGAACTATTCCTTCAAGATTTCCTACATCCCGGACGAAGAGGTGAGCTCCCCTTCGCCCCCTCAGCGAGCCCACCGTGGGGACCACTCTTCCAGGGAGCAAGGCCACGGCCCCGGGGGCTCTTCTCAGGCCAGACAGATTGATTTCCCGCTTCGGATCCTGGTCCCTACCCAGTTTGTTGGTGCCATCATCGGAAAGGAGGGCTTGACCATAAAGAACATCACTAAGCAGACCCAGTCCCGGTACGTGCCTCCGGGGCTCCCTTTGCTTCCTTCTGAGGGGTTCCCTGAGTGCTGGGGGGCCCGCCCATCCTCTGGCAGCTCTTGCTTGCGTCCGTGGGGGGCTGTGCTGGATGGGACGGCGGCTTCTCTAAACAGAACTGTTAACAGACTAACAGAAAGCCGGGGCTTTGAGGAGCTTTCATGCCAGTTGCCAGAAGGTTAAGTCCCAAAACAGCAAAGGTTCATAAAGAAGGCACTAATGTAAGGTGACCAGACGTCCCGCTTTTGGTGGGACAGTCCTGATTTTTAACAATTTGTCTGTCCTGCGTCCCACGGTGTTTTAAAAAAGTCCTGATTTTTGGAAAGAATGCACGACCAGCTAGGGAATGGCAGGAGAACGGGAAGGGAATGTACGGTTTTTGGTGGCCATGTGGCTATTTAGCCAGGATATGAGTTTTGTGTTATTTTTGTTAATTTCATAATCTTAAACTTTAATAATAACAAATAATTGTTGAGAACTGATTATCGAGAACTGCTTATCAAAGTTCGCATTGTTGATCAATTGTTAGAATTTACTCAAATGAGCCGAGACCGGTTTGGCTCAATGGATAGAGTGTCGGCTTGGGGACTGAAAGGTCCCGGGTTCGATTCCGGTCAAGGGCATGTACCTTGGTTGCGGGCATTTCCCCAGTAGGGGGTGTGCAAGAGGCAGCTGGTCGATGACTCTCATCGATGTTTCTAGCTCTCTATCTCTCTCCCTTCCTCTCTGTACAAAATCAATAAAATATATTTTAAAAAAAATTCATTCAAATGAGAAATATGCCAAAGAATAAATAATACTATACATAATTATTTATTTATTTATATTTGTAAATTGTACTTATGTTGAAATTTTTAAAAATATATTGCAATACTATTTTTGCGTTCTATGAAAATTTTTGTTGCTCCATATAGACCAAAATTTTAATCGAGAATCCCCCTCCCCCCCAGGTCAATGGTGTCCCGCTTTACCAATGTCACCTTACACTAATGACTTCCCAGCCCAGGATTGTTCTTAAAAGCTAACCAATGCTTGTGAATGCATCTGTTTCCAAAACAGCAGGGGTAGAGAGCAGAATTTTGTGGAATCCTTGAACCACTTCTCTGAGCTCTGACCTCCTCTCCTGAGTCAGAGCACTGGGTCGTAGTCATTCCGTGAGATCCACCCAGATCGGTTCAGAAAGCTACATCCAGGACGTGGATGGGTCTCTGCTATATCGAGCAAGGAATAAAGTATACCAGCCTTCTGTTTAGTCTTCTGTCGAAGGAGACTGGGCTGGTGGTAGGATTTGTACTGAGTAAAAAGACTTGTGGGTTATTGATTTTTCTATGTTCGTATGACCACAGCAGGACGGAACCAAGAAAGCACAGGACTTCAGAGACCCTTGTTCAAGTTTTTTGCCACATGATGGCTTTATGATCTGGAAAAAAAAAAATTTTCCACCTCTCTGAGCATCCGTGGCTGCTTCTTGTAAGCAAAGATTACTGTGAGAATCAGGCAGGGTGAATGTAGTAATTATTACAAAAGCACTTAAATTGCAAAGCAGCGAATTACTGACCATCAGTTACTTACACGCCTCATGCACATTATTCAGGCCACGGCTTGAGTGTCTTGTAACGTGAAAGAGAAAACACGGTTTTTCTTCAAGTATCTGAGTTACTCCCAAATAATGGAAATTTATTTTGTGTCCCAGAGGAGTGAAATAAAGGGATAGCAGAGAGGAGAAATACTCACGGGTGATTCTTTCATTTTAAAATTAGCCCTTTTTGTCCCTTCTGAGTTTTCTTTATTTGTCTTTTTTTGCTCAAAAACATTGTTTAAAGAGGCTTTAAAAGTGCCACACATTTAAATAGAAGCAAGGTAGTCCTCACCGTGTGTGCCCGTTTTTTAGAAACAGGCTGAAGACTTGGATCTGGGCTTTCTAACACCACAGTAAAAGGGGATGCCATCAATTAGGTGATTTTGAAAGATGAACAAAAACAATTCCGGCCCCGACTACCCCGAGAAGCCTGATCCAGTCATCAGGCTGCTGAGCCACGAGCTCGCTGAATACCACCTCTGCTCCCTCGGAAGGCAGGCTGCCCGTGGCCAGGACACCAAAACGCAGGCAGAGCGAGGGCATGCCTCTGCTTTCTCTCCCCACTCCGAAATCTAAAGTTCGCTTGGATGTGGTGTTTGGATTTGGATTCACACGTGGCTTTTAAAACGCTGCCATCCCATATCCCCAGTAGGGGGTGTGCAAGAGGCAGCTGATCGATGACTCTCTCTCATCGATGTTTCTAACTCTCTATCTCTCTCCCTTCCTCTCTGTACAAAATCAATAAAATATATTTAAAAAAAAAATAAAAATAAAAAAAATAAAAAAATAAAACGCTGCCATCCGCTCAGAGAGTGGCACTGTGCTAGCGCCCAGAATTAACCCTGCTCCCTTTTCTCCTCACTCCTGCGGTCACCTGAAATACGTCCTTCACCCACCTGGCTTCATGACCACGCTGGCCGGGGGCCCTTGTCCCATCCATAGCACGCCTGTCGGGCATACTCCCTTCCACACGGAGCCGCAGAGAATTCGAGTTTGGCACGAGCCCCCCAGCCCTGCTTGCCGCCTTGGGGAATGGCACTGGGTGCGCACGTGCGGATGGCCACGCCTTGTCTGTCTGTGTCCCTGCTGTACGTTGGCTGGCGCGGCCCTTGGGACGAACGAGGACCCTGTCCCCCGATGACGGCGTGCTATGGCTCCCGATGCTTTCCCCACAGGGTGGACATCCACAGGAAGGAGAACTCCGGGGCCGCCGAGAAGCCCGTCACCATCCACGCCACCCCGGAGGGGACCTCGGAGGCGTGCCGTATGATTCTGGAAATCATGCACAAGGAGGCTGATGAGACCAAAATGTAAGTTTGCGTGCCATGTCCTTATCACCCTACAGAGATTAAGGGTAATTCTCATTCATGGAACCCAGTACATTTTTTTTCTTTTCATATTTTTTTATTAAGGTATTATATGTGTACATATCTTACCAACTACCCCCCCCCCCACTCCCATATATGCCCTCCCTCCCCAGAGTTTTTCGTCCTTGGTTTTGCTTATATGCATGCATACAAGTCCTTTGGTTGATCTCTTATCTCCCCCATATCTCCCTACCCTCCCCACTGTAATTTGACAGTCTGTTGCTTTACTGTCTCAGTATCTATCTTTTTTTTTTTTAATATATTTTATTGATTTTTTACAGAGAGGAAGGGAAAGAGATAGAGAGCTAGAAACGTCAATGAGAGAGAAATATCGACCAGCTGCCTCTTGCACACCCCCTACAGGGGATGTGCCCGCAACCCAGGTACATGCCCTTGACCGGAATCGAACCCGGGACCTTTCAGACCGACGCTCTACCACTGAGCCAAACCGGTTTCGGCTGTATCTATCTTTTTGTTCATCAGTTTATAATGTTCCTTATTATCCATAAATGAGTGAAATCATGTGTTTTTCTTTCATTGACTGGCTTATTTTACTCAGCATAATGTTCTCCAAATGTAATTTTTACTAAGTAAAGTGAGCAGGGAAGGATTGTTTTTTAAGAAATTTGTTTCCAAAGAGAATACCATGGAAGACAGACCTTGTGCATGTATAATGTGGCGGTTTCTCCTTTGTATGTTTCTCCTGATGATCCTAGTGCTCTCATCACTCACTGGGAATAATTATCGGTAGGAATACATAGACCGGTGCTGTCCACTGTCATGCAATGATGGGAATGTTCTCTGTCTGCCCTGCGCAATAAGATAGCGATTCGCTGCATACTGCGATTGAGTGCTGGAAATGTGACGAGTGCAGTGGGGCAACGGAATCTTTTAATTTATTTGGATTTGAATCGTTACACGTATGGCTAATGACTGTCTCGTTTGGTCAGTGCAGGTATAGAATGTGCACCGTCATCAAAACCACCACTTAACTGTTCTGGGAAAGGTTTTTGTCATCTGCCCCAAAACCACTTGCACTCTTTTAAAATCGAATTACATTTCCTTTAGTAGTAGAAACTTATAGTGACAGCAGCTCCTTTCTTCTTCTTCCTATCTGTTTTCTTCTGTCTCCTCCTTTTCTTTTGCAAAATACTTCTTAAGATTCCTGAGTGTTGTATCCATTTGAAGGGCAAATAACAGTTCTTACTAAAACCATTGCATTTGTATTACAAACAAATTAGTAGTAAATGGAATGGGTAATATAATAAAAAGGGTTCTATGCGGTTTGGCAAAATCCACTTATGGGCATTGGTGGCACAGTCATAGAGAAGTACTGAGGGATGAGTTGAATATAAAATTAATTTAGCAAATAATGTCAAATAAGAGTGTTCCAAAACCAAAAAGGGGAAAGTAGTCCTAAAAACAAAAACACAGCTCTATTCTCAGGTTTCATAAGGGTCTCTAACCTTTCACTTATGAATCATTGACTGTTTTGCAGGCTTTTGAACATCCTCCTCCTCCCCACCCCAAATGCCATGGCTTAATTTGAAGAAGCTCCTCCCTCGTCCAATTTATTAAAAACTTTTAAAATAACAAACTTTTTGGTCCTTCAGCCTAGTGAACAAAGCAACTTTCAATATTCTAAATAATTACCAAGACTGATTTAATAAATTGGATATTTAAGCTTCTGAGTAGAGCCAAGATAGAATTTGAATATCTTTGAAATAAAGGTTTGGGTGCCCCACTGAGTTAAGCCCTGTGTTGGGGTGAGGCTACAGACATGAACAAGACCCAGGCCTGCTTTCATGGAGCCTTCAATCCAATGGGAGAGACGCTCACTGAACAAGTAATTACACCGGCACATAGTTAAGCACGGCTATGGTGAGGGTGGGAAATGACTTCATTGCTGGAAGCCCTCACCAAGGCTTTAGCGGAGATGGGAGGAGATTGGGGATTTCAGAGACAGCCTCTCTGACGTTTAAACTGAGCCCTGAGGGGGATGAGTAAGAGGTAGAGTGTTTGCTCTCTTTTTTCTTAATTCATTTAGCTAAGAGTTGTCAATCTTATTGATCTTTTCAGAAAAACTTACTCTTAGTTCTATTTATTTAATTTTTTTTAGTCTCTATTTTGCTCATTTCTCCTCTAATCTTTATTATTTCTTTCCTTTTGCCAGTTTGGACTTAGTTTATTTCTTGTCTAATTTCTTGAGTTATAAAGTTGTTGATTTGAGATTTTTTATTTTGTTTTTTAATCTATTCAGCCAATCTATATCTAGACTGGGAAGTTTCATTCCTTAGTAAACATTATTAGGGAAGGACTGAAAATTGCCATTTTGATTTTCTGTGTCTTGTAGCTTTATTGGCTGTCATTTCCTTTCTTACTGCCTCCCTTTGTGTCTTTGTTTTGGGTTTGTTTGTGCTTTTTAGTGATGTTCTTTGATTCCCTATCATTTCCTTTTGTGTATATTCTGTAGGGATGTGAGTGAGTGTGTGTGTGTGTGTGTGTGTGTGTGTGTATTATTGTAGTTATATAAGACATCTTAAAACTATAGCATTCTATTTTAAACTGATAACTTCAGTTACATTCAGAACTCCATTCCTTTATAACTCCACCATCTATAATTTTTATTGAATATATTGGGGTGACATTTGGTTAATAGAATTACATCATTTTCAGGTATATAATTCTAAAATACATCATGGATATATTGTGTGTTCATCACTCCATTTCAAGTCTCCTCCCATCACCATTTATCCTTACTCTACCTTCTTGTACCTCTACTTTGTTATTGATGTCACAAATTACTATTTATCTATTATATACCCATTAACATAGATTTATCATTTTTGTTTTTGTCATTTAAATTTTATGCTTCAAAGTTACTATAGTATACACTATTGTATTTGTGTATTTTATGTTTTCATATGACATTGTGTTGCTATCTACTGTGCTTTCACTTCAACTAAAAGTTTCTTATAGAGCAGTTCTAATAGGAATGAACTCCCTAAGCTTTTGTTTTTCTGGAAATGTCTTATTTCTCCTTCATTTTTGAAGACAATTTGCCAGATACAGTATTCTTGGTTGACATTTTTTTCTTTTAGCAGTTTGAACATATCATCCCACTCCCTTCTGGCCTGCAAAATTTCTGCCGAGAAATCTACCGATAATACGGAAACTCCTAGGTATGTGACTATAATTTTTATCTTGCTATCAAAATTGTCCTTTGTCACCCTAGCCAGTTTCACTCAGTAGTTAGAGCATTGGCCCACAGACTGAAAGATCACAGGTTCAATTCCAGTCAAGGGCATTACCTTTCAGTTGCAGGCTCAATCCTCAGCCCCAGTAGTGTGCATATAGGAAACAACCAATCAATGTGTCTCTCTCATGTAGATGTTTCTCTCTCTTTCTCTCTCCCTTCCTTCCACTCTCTCCAAAAATCAATGGGGGGGGGTAATGTCCTTGGATGAGGATTAAAAAAAAAAAAAAGATTGTGCTTTGTCTTTTGTCTTTGACTTTAGACACATGGGTTACAGTATGTTTCAGTGTGGTTTTCTTAGGGTTTATCCTAATTGAAATAATGTTTTGAATCTATATGTCCATTTCATTCCTCAGATTTAGACAGTTTTCATCATTATTTTTGAATAAGCTATTTGCCCCTTCTCTTTTTTTCCTTATGGATTCCCATGATGTGTATAATGATCCATTTTATAGTGTCCCTTAGCCTCTCTTTGTCTTCCTGTATTCCTTTTTCTCCTTTTGATTTCAAATGATCAGTCTTCAATTTTGCTGATATTTTCTTTTTCCTGTTTTTGTCTGCTGTTGGATCTTTTAAATAAAATTTTTAGTTTAGTTTTGTAATCTTTAGCTTTATTATTTATTTGTTAGGTTGTGTGTTTTTTTCTTCTAGTTTCTGTCTCTTTATTGATTCTTATTTTGTACACATATCATTTTAGTCATCTGTGTTCTTTTTTAGGTCATTGAGTATCTTCATGACAGATTTTTTACATTCTTTGTCAGGTAGTTCATTGGCCTGAATTTCTTTAGGATCAGTTTCTGGAGTTTTATTTTGATCCTTTGATTAGTCATTGTTTCCCTATTTCTTTGCATGTCTTGTAGTGTTTTTGCTGGAATTTATAACCACTTCTCAGTCTTTGCCTACTGGCTTCATTCAGAGGAAGAACTTCTGAATTAGCCTGGCTGCAGGTTCTAGATCTCTCAAACCTTTTTGATCTCTTTCTCCCCCTGGCTTCTGACTGTAACTGTAGCTCTAACATACTGTTTACCTCTGTTTTCACCACCTTCCAAACTCTGATGCCAGTCTCATTAGCCCTCCAAGTCAGAAGAGACAGAAACCAATTTATACTCGAGTCTTTTGTTTCTGTTTTAAAGGGAGAAGTCATGGTATGAAGGACTGCTTCTTAGTTGCTCCTTGCTATCTGTGTAGGGAAAGGAACATGAACAGCCATGCCAGATACAACAATTTTCCTGCCCCTTTTGATGGACTCCCTTTGTTTTATAATAAATTGGGTGCTATAGCTTCTCAGTTAATCTTTAGGGTTCTCACAGAGGTATTTGTCTATATTTTTAAAAATATATATTTTATTGATTTTTTACAGAGAGGAGGGGAGAGGGATAGAGAGTTAGAAACACTGATGAGAGAGAAACATCTATCAGCTGCCTCCTGCACACCTCCTATTGGGGATGTGCCCGCAACCAAGGTACATGCCCTTGACCAGAATCGAACCTGGGACCTTTCAATCCACAGGCCGATGCTCTATCCAGTGAGCTAAACGATTAGGGCTCTTTGTCTGTTATTAACTTGGTATCTCTGTGGGGGTAGGAGGACCTGAAGCTTTCTGGTTTGTCATCTGACTAATGTCATTAACTCTTATACCTTTCTAAGAGCAAGGAAAACCTTCCTAAAGTCACCCAACAGATTTCTCCTTATAGGCCATATCTACCTCTTGGACTTACTCCCTACTAGGCATAAGAGGGGAGTATCATCATCATGGCTTGGCTTATGTTAGTGAGAATCCATGCCCTGGGATTGGTAAGGGACTCCTCTCCTAAAGCTCATTACCACTTGGTATCTGAACAAAACAGCTTCTATTTGTAAGAAAAACAAAATTGGCCATATCTACCTCTTGGACTTACTCCCTACTAGGCACAAGAGGGGAGTATCATCATCATGGCTTGGCTTATGTTAGTGAGAATCCATGCCCTGGGATTGGTAAGGGACTCCTCTCCTAAAGCTCATTACCACTTGGTATCTGAACAAAACAGCTTCTATTTGTAAGAAAAACAAAACAAGGTAAATAGCCTTTGGGAAGCAATCGCTGTTTCCACCTTAACTGTTAACATTGTTGGTTGTCTTTTTTAGAACCGAAGAGATTCCTCTGAAAATCTTGGCCCACAATGGCTTGGTTGGGAGACTTATTGGAAAAGAAGGCAGAAATTTGAAGAAAATTGAACATGAAACTGGGACCAAGATAACAATTTCATCGTAAGCACCCATTCAGATTCCTTGTGCCCGGTGATGGGGAATTGGATCATCTTGATAGGCCCCGTTCATTCATCTGCTTTTCTATAAAATGGGGATGTAATCATAAGTCACAAAGTTATCTCCAAAACCACAAAGACAAACACATAAATAGTTACCAGTCAAGCATTTGACTATAAGTGTGATCTGTCACTAGAAAGATTTGCGATAACGCGTTAAGCGTTCTGTATTTCAGTGTGTGGTGAGGAAATTCGGTCTTCTCCCCACCATCTCCACCAAGACTTTTTTAAAAAATATATTTTATTGATTTTTTTTTTTTTTTACAGAGAGGAACAGAGAGGGATAGAGAGTTAGAAACATCGATGAGAGAGAAACATCAATCAGCTGCCTCTTGCACACCCCCCACTGGGGATGTGCCCGCAACCGAGGTACATGCCCTTGACCAGAATCAAACCTGGGACCATTCAGTCCGCAGGCTGATGCACTATCCACTGAGCCAAACCAGTCAGGGCAAGACTTGTTTGTTATCCTCTAGGATTTATTTCTCCTTATGATAAAAGATAAAAGCAAATTTCTCTCTCTTTTTTTCCTGGTGGCCAGCTTGCAGGATTTGAGCATATACAATCCTGAAAGAACCATCACTGTGAAGGGCACGGTCGAGGCTTGTGCCAGTGCTGAGATGGAGATTATGAAGAAGCTACGTGAGGCCTTTGAAAATGACATGCTGGCTGTAAACGTAAGTGCCCGAATGAATGTGAAATAAGCAAGTGAGGTGATCCTGAAGCTGGTAACCAAACGGTGAAAAGGCCAGCGTTGTGAGCCATTCTGAACCTGCACATGGAGACTCCATGTGTGGTGTCCTAGGGAGGGGTCGGATCTTTTCCTGGACAGAGTTAGAAAACAGCTGTTAATCCAGTAGGTTTTAAACATACCCATTCGACAAGTATTTACTGAGTACTTACTATGTACCAGGCCCTGAGCCCACCACACCAGACAGTCTTTGTGCACAAGGAAATTATGTCTGAAAGGGGAAGAGGTACCTACGCAGGTGGCCCACATGCCGTGTGGCGAGTGCTCTTTAAGGAGGCGTAGGAATGTTAGGAGAGCACAGGAAGGGTGTTTGGATGAGGCATTCGGGGTGAGAGGCGGCTTTCCAGGTGAGGGGACACCTAAGCTCAGGTGAAACCCACGTGATGAGTAAGACTCAGCCAGGTGAGGAGCGAGAAATGCACGTTCCTTTCGGGGTGGACGAAGTGTCCTGGGGCCCAGAGGTGAGAGGCACAGGACCGGGCAGGTTGGGGAGGAGGGGTTGGCAGCAGAGAGGCTGGTGACGTGGTCTGGCTCCCCAGGAAGAGCCTCGTTTGCTGCTAAGATGTGTGGACACTCGCAAGGGTGGCAGAGAAACTTGGGAGGAACGCCATGGTCATGCTGAGGTTTGGATAGCCCACCCCAGCAGCAGGGTGGGGCAGAGGTTGCAGGGCCAGGGCAGGAGATGGAGCTTGGCCCAGGCAAGCTGGGACTCTGCTCGCCTCCCCTCATCGTTTTCTCCGTTTCTGTTCCAGCATCAAGCCAACCTGATCCCTGGGTTGAACCTCAGCGCCCTTGGCATCTTTTCAACAGGATTATCCGTGCTGCCTCCACCCGCAGGGCCCCGGGGACCTCCCCCGGCTCCGCCCTACCACCACTTCGCTGTAAGTAGCCCAGCTTCAGAGGGCTGCTCGCGCTCCGGGCACCGCCAGGCAGCAACATGGCTCTGCTGTGTTGCTCAGAGCTAAAGCTTTAACGTGGGGGCCTTGCTTGTAAGTGACCGCAGGGAGAATCCAGCGTGTCTTTGACTTCTTCCCAATGACAGACTGATAGGATTCCACCTTCCTCTAAACATGCTGCTCTTAAATATAATAGGAAAGAAAGAATCCACTAGCAAAGGCTTTCACTGTTGTTAAAAAAAAAAAAAAAAAAAAAAAAAAAAAAAAGGATTTGTTGGTTCAAATAAGACTCTTCCTGAGTGTTGTTCATTCATTAAAATGCTGGGCCACCTGGATATCTCTTTCCCACCTATGTCTGCAACTCAAATGATTTATATTTTAACTAGAGGCTCGGTGCATGAAATTTGTGCATGGGGGGCGTGTCCCTCAGCCCAACTTGCAACCTCTCTAATCTGGGAACCCTCGAGGGATATCCGACTGCCCTTTTAGGGTCGGGCCTCAATAGGCAAGTCAGACATCCCTCTCACAATCCAGGACTGCTGGCTCTCCACTGCTTGCCTGCCTGCCTGCCTGATTGCCCCTAACCTCTTCTGCCTGCCAGTCTGATCACCACCTAACCACTACCCGGCTAGCCTGTTTGCCCCTAACATCCCTCCCCTGAAAGCCTGGTTATTCCTAAAAGCCCTTCCCTGAGGGCCTGGTCACCCACAACTGCCCTTCCCTGCAGTCCCAGTTGCCCCCAACTTCCTTCCTCTGCTGGACTGGTCATCCCTAACTGCCCTCCTCTGAAGGCTTGATCACCCCCAACTACCCTCCCTTGCAGGCCTGGTCTCTCCCAACTGCCCTCCCCTGCTGACCATCTTATGGCAGCCATCTTGTGTCCACATGGGGGCAGCCATCTTGTGTGTTGGAGTGATGGTCAATCTGCATATTACTCTTTTATTAGATAGGATAGAGACTTGGTGCATGGGTGGGGGGCGGGCTGGTTTTCCCTGAAGGTTGTCCTGGATCAGGGTGGGGGTTCCCTTGGGCTGTGGGGTGACCTGGGCGAGGGGCCTGTGGTGGTTTGCAGGCTGCCATGCCCCCTGGCAACCCAAGCGGAGGCCCTGGTGTCTGTGATTTATTTATCTTCTAAAATTGAAACTGTATAGCTTGCATGGAGTTCAGGGCCGGGGTGTACAGAAACCTTCCTCCATTGCCTGGGAAACCCAAGCCTCCTCTCACTCCATGGCCGTAGCCATCTTGGTTGGGTTATTTTGCATACCCATTCCTGATTGGCTAGTGGGTGTGGCTTGTGGGGTGTAGTAAAGTGATGGCTAATTTGCATATTATTCTTTGGTTAGATAGGATACTAGGCAGATTTTAAAATAAAATAATACATGGTGTTTTAAAATACTTAGAGCAATGCCTGGCATTTAGTGGGTTCTCAATAACTGTTGTTTGAATCACATTTAATAACAGAAGAAGAAATGTGAAATTATGAATTTTCTGTTTGTTGCCTGCTTGCTGCTCCCGTTCACGAGCCTTGTTCAGAAAAAGTGGAGGTGAGAGGCAGGATACTTGCCAGCTAGTTTTTGTTTTGTTTTGTTTTAATATATTTTTATTGGTTTCAGAAAGGAAAAGAGAGGGAGAGAGAGAGAAACATCAACGATGAGAGAGAATCATCAATTTGCTGCCTCCTGCACACCCCCCATGGGGGACCAAGCCCACAACCTGAACATGTGCCCTGACCAGGAATCGAACCAGGACCTCCTGGTTCATAGGTCCACTGAGCCACACCGGCTGGGCTGCCAGCTATTTTATTTTGAGCTCTACACATACATACAGCTTATTCTTAAAGCAAACTTTCTCTCCCCCAAATGTTTATACTGTTTAAATGGGGAAAATCCAGTTGGTGAACATTACCTTAGTCACTCCTTTTTTTCTAGTGCTTTGGGTTATCTGTAGAGAGACAGGGTAAACCTACTCTGTTTTACCAACAAAACACCAACACGAATGGGCAGTCATGTCCTTAGTCACAAGAACTTACACATTTCTGCAATCTGTTTATACACAGATCTGAGTCATTTCTAAATCTTTATACCATTTATTTAAAATAATATCCATTTTTGCCGAAACCAGTTTGACTCAGTGGTCTGCGGACTGAAAGGTCCCAGGTTCGATTCCGGTCAGAGGCATGTACGTTGGTTGCGGGCACATCCCCGGTAGGGGGTGTGCAGGAGGCAGCTGGTCGGTGTTTCTCTCTCATCGACGTTTCTAGCTCTCTATCTCTCTCCCTTCCTCTCTGTAAAAAAATCAATAAAAATATTTGGAAAAATAAATAAATAAAATAATATCCATTTTCCCTTGAACTAAAGGATAGGGCCAATAGTAAGCCGTGTGTGTGTGTGTGTGTGTGTGTGTGTGTGTGTGTGTGTGTGTGTGTGTGACAGAGGTGTAGGGGGGGGGGGGGGGAGCTGGAAACAAAGCAGGAGGGATTATTGATGTTCCCAGGAGCAAAATAGCTACAAAGGGGCACATCCTCATATCTTTGCTATGAGATCTGAGAATGACTGAGCTTGGCAGAATTCAGTGGCATTGAGACGTACAGACGTACCTCATTTCTAAGGAGAAAGACTATATATACTGCCATAGAAGTAATGGAAGGCCAGGCTACCCTCTCAACCTAAATACTTAAATGGGAGGGGCAGGGGAAGGAGGGAGAGGAGAGATAATAAAACAGCCACTTCTAAAATAGGGGTCATTGTCTTTATTTTTCCATCTTTTTCTTAATGATTTCTAACAACTGTTTACATATTAAGGCTCTTCACCATTTATCATATTGTAAATGTTTCTTTCAACAGTTTATAATTTATCTAATTTATCTTTGCTTTATTTGAGTGTCCTGTGCCATAATAATTTAAAATAAATATATTGTAAACAAACTATTGAATGAAGTAAAATGTAAATGTTTCCCATAGCCTTTCTTTTACCCAAATTTTACCCACCAACCGTTCCCCAGAAATATAACACTACTATGTTTACGTATATTTAAAATGTTTTCTCAGCATATGTACAATCATATTATTGAAAAATACAAATGGAGTGGATTAGAAGTTATTTTTTTATGTTTTATCAGCATCTTTCCCTAGCTGGACCTAATTCTCCTTAATTGTTACATAGTATTCCATTGGATGAATTTATTATAGTTTTTTTCTAATCAGCACATGGTTTTTAGACATTTAGGTTGTTTCCAGGTTTTCTTTGCTACAGAGAGTGTAGAAATGAATATCTGTATATATGTCTTTGCACAAGTATGTGAGTATGAAAATTTTCTAAAATTACAGTTACTACATCAAAGGGGAGGTGCAATTAAAATTCTCACAGATTTCCCATCAACAGAATTTATGCAGGAATTTTTAAAATGAAGGTAGCTAAATCAGTGATGTTCCCTTTATGGATTTCTAGCCTCTGATGTCATGCTAAGGAAGGAGCCTTCTCCCATCTGTGCTTACATATAGTGATTTTTAGTTGCTGGTTTTGGGAAATTATTGCTTATATTTACATCAGTAACTCATGGGGAATTTATTTTGACTTATACTTTGAGATAGGAATCTGGCTTTGTTTTGGTTTTGTTTTTTCCCAAATGGATAGCCAATTTCCCCAAAGTCACTTATTGAGTAATGTACCCTTTTATCAGTCAACTTGAAATGTCATCTTTGCCTAAATTCCCACTTAGTCATTCCTGGACTCTGTCCCATTATTTATTTTGTTTTCACACTGTGATTACGATAGCTTTATATTCTCTGTGACAGTTTTAACAGCAGGCTTCTTCTCTCAAGGAATGATATAGAAAGGCTAACCTTTACTGTGCCTGGGAAATTAAAGAATATGTAGGTATTTTCTGTTTCTTGAAGATTTGATAAGTCCTGTCCGTGACACATCTTGGCCTCTAGCACTTGTAAGCTTTTTTATTTCTATAAGTTGTTGCGTGGTTTTGTTGGTTTATCTTTTTTCTTAAAAGTATTCATTCCAGCCTGGCTAGCTTGGCTCAGTGGCTGAGCTTCTCGACCTATGAAGCAGGAGGTCATGGTCCAATTCCCAGTCAGGGCACTTGCCTGGATTTTGGGCTCAGTCCTAGTTTACAGCAGGTACAAGAGGCAACTGATTGATGTTTCTCTCTCACATCAATGCTTCTCCCTCTCCGCACTTCCTCTCTTTCTAAAAGCAACGGAAACATATGGGTTTTTACTTCACTAGTCATGTTTTTAAGATCAATCTGCTTCTCTCATTGGTCTTTCCTCATAGCAATCTACTCATGCACTGTCCTCTTCAATCTCACAAAAAAAGCAGGTGACTCTTTAAAAAAAAAAAAAAATTCGCCGGGACCGGTTTGGCTCAGTGGATTAGAGCGTCGGCCTGCGGACTGAAAGGTCCCGGGTTCGATTCCGGTCAAGGGCATGTACCTTGGTTGCGGGCACATCCCCAGTAGGGGGTGTGCAAGAGGCAGCTGGTCGATGTTTCTCTCTCATCGACGTTTCTAACTCTCTATCCCTTTCTCTTCCTCTCTGTGAAAAATCAATAAAATATATTAAAAAAAAATTCTCCACCTTTCTGAATTAGTTCACTGGGGTCATCTGCTTGCCTCGCCCTCCTCTTTCATGCTGCTGAGTTTCCACATACGTCTGAGGAGTTTTCATTTTCCATTCATGTATTCAACGAACTCAACAGAGCTCTAACTTCTAAACATATTAGAGCTTTTTCAAAACTTGCACCACAGGGGCCCCCTGACCCAGTGAATTCGGAAAGTTCCAGGAGAGCAGTCCTGGGTGCAGTGCTGCAGTCCTGGCTGCAGAAGGAGACCGATCTGCGCTCAGATCTTGGCTCTGCCTCACGATAGCTCACCTGGTCCCTGTCAGCTCTGGAGGCTGTTCTAGGCGGGTCCCAGAGGCGAATAAGGAGGTGCTTGAACAAGCTGGGTAGAATGGTGCAGCTCTGAGTCTTGAAGAGGATTTGAACCCAGAAGAGCAGCCACTCTGTGCAGCCTGTGGGTTCTTGACCTCACATGAGTTTCTGGAAAAGGTAAATTACAATTCAAAAGAATTATTTCTGCTCGGAGGGCTGTCCCGGTAAGAAGAGGGCAGAAGTGTCCTTTCCTCAAGCTAGAGGTTTGTCTGAGCAGAAAACCTGCAGCAATTCTGCCCCCACCTGCCATGGCCCAGGACAGCCCTCAGCACAGGGACCTGCACCCAGAGGGGCCTGGAGCTGATGCTCAAGAAAAGCCGGACCATGCCGAAACCGGTTTGGCTCAATGGATAGAGCGTCAGCTTGGGGACTGAAAGGTCCCGGGTTCAATTCCGGTCAAGGCATGTACCTTGGTTGCGGGCATATCCCCAGTAGAGGGTGTGCAAGAGGCAGCTGATCGATGACACTCTCTCATCGATGATTCTAACTCTCTATCTCTCTCCCTTCCTCTCTGTACAAAATCAATAAAATATATTGAAAAAGAAAGAAAGGAAGGAAGGAAGGAAGGAAGGAAGGAAGGAAGGAAGGAAGGAAGGAAGGGAGGGAGGGAGGGAGGGAGGAAGGAAGGAAGGAAGGAAGAAAGGAAGGAAAGGAAAGGAAAGGAAAGAGGAAAAGAAAGGAAAGAGAAAAGGAAAGGAAAGAGAAAAGGAAAAGGAAAGCCGGACCAAGTGAGCCAAACCATTGGCGGTTTGCAAGAGAACGCTGGTCTCATAACCCCCCCTTGTGGGCACTAGGTGTCACTGCAGCCTCTTTCTAAGTCTCGAAAGGAAAGGATTGTTGTACAAGTTGCTTCTATAAGCCCCGCAGGTGCTCTGGGCACCCAGCACGCCTGTGGGAGGCACTCCCCACAGAGATCGCACCTCTCTCTCTCTGAGGCCGGTCTGCTTTCCAAGCTCAAACGGGGAACAGTGTCATTTTGTCACTAATGTGCCATGAGGCAAAGTTGTGATCTGGAGCTCAGAGTCTGTCTGGCTGGAGGTTCAGGAGGCGAGGGAACCAGATTTGCTCAAGGGCCCTCACGTGAAAGCTGGGACCCTTCACTCCCAAGCCACTTCCGGGTCTGGCCTCTGTGGGGATGGGCTTGCTGGGAGGTTTCTCACGGGGCAGGGGTGAGGGATTGGTGCCGAGAGCCCGGCTTTCCTGTGATGGGCATGCCAGCTGCGTGTAAAGCACATTGAACCTGACTTTGGTAACTGGCCAGTGTCCTGCCTAAAGAACATACAAAAGAAGCCCTGGCCGGTTAGAGTGTCCGCCTGCAGACGAAAGGGCCGCAGGTTGGATTCCTGGCCAAGGGCACATGCCTTGGTTGCAAGTTTGATCCCCAGACCCGGTCGGGGTGCATGTAGAGGCAGCCAATCAATGCGTGTCTCTCACATTGATGTTTCTCCCTCCCCCCTTCTTCCTCCCTTCCTCTCCCTCAAAAAAAAAAAAAAAAAAAGGTGGAAAAATGTCCCCAGGCGAGGATTAACTATGTATACACATAAAATCAGACAGATTCCCGTTTCCAGGACTGTTGTGAGGATTAAAAGCGTTTCAGAGTTGATGTAACGTACCTATCACAGTGCCTGGTGCCAGCAGGTTTTCAATAAAAAACCGGCTCCTGGAGTGGGGAGGGGGGCGCCAGTCAATTGGGGGAAAAGCAGACACATGTAAAACCTTAGACAATAACAGTAATAATAGCAGCTCCTTTTAAATGTAATTCTCCTAAAGCCCACTTCTCTGCTCTCCACATCTGCCTGCCCTTCCCCCCGCCTCCCCTCTCCCCTCGCCCCCCTCACACACATGTCTTTATTCATTCTCTTCCTCCTTCAGTCTGCTTTTAAGCTTCTCTTTTCTCAGCCTCCCCATTCCTTCTGAAACGCTGGGATGAGCTCACTGATCTCATTTCCCAGGAGCATCTCTGCTCGGTCTGCGTGACTCCTGGGTATTGTCATATGTGTGTGGGGGGAGGGGGGGTTTGGAGGTGTGGTGGGTGTGAATTGGGGGGGGGGTGTGCATATGCATGTACTCGTGGTAAGTTCCTAGGAGTCAAAAAACGTCTCAACTAAGAATGCTGACCCCTCGGCCGGCCCAGCGCTCTGAGGGGAAGGTGGCAGGGACCCCAGGCCACGGGAGGGTGTGCGGGCGGGCGGGCAGGACAGGGAGGCCGGGCAGAGGCCTGGGTCGCGTGGGGCAACCTTGCTGCCCCAGTTTGGTGCGTGTCCTGAGGGCGCGGCTGACTGGCCCTTTCCTCCCTCCGCAGACCCACTCCGGATACTTCTCCGGCCTGTACCCCCCGCACCAGTTCAGCCCGTTCCCGCACCATCACGCGGTAAGTGCCCCTCGCTCAGCCCGCCCTCGGCCGGCACCGCGTGGCCCTGGTGGACCGGCCGGCCAGGGGACATCGGCGGGGTGCGTGCCGGGTGCCGTGCTCGTCGCCGGGAACCCACCGCGCACCAGTGCTGCCCGCCCAGCGGCCTGGGCGCTCCCAGGCCTGTGGGGGCGAAAAGTGGTGCCCGTGAGTGGTCAGCGGTCAAATCAGGAGGTTGTGTTGGGCCAGTGGTCAGCACAGTCATTAGTCCACAGAGCCAAATATCAACAGTATGACGGACATTTCTTTTTATGTTTCTTTTTTTCTTTCTTTTTTTTTTAAAATTTCTTTATTAAGGTATCACATTTGTCCTCAACCCCCCATTCTAATCCCCCAGGCTCCCCACTCGTGCCCCCACGCCCCTATTGTCCTTGACCACTGGTTAGGCTCATATGTGTGCACCTAAGTCCTTTGGTTGATCTCTCCCCACCCTCCCTTTGAGGTCCAACAGTCTGACCCAGGGCTCCTTATCTCTGGGTCTGTTCTTGTTCCTCCGTCTACGTTGTTCACCATTCCCCCTAGATGAGTGAGATCATGTCCTACTGGAAATATAAGAATCAAAAATGAGACAAGCAATAATCGTTACGCTGAGAGGCGTATGAATCAGTCCGTAGTGAATTTCTTTCTGGGCCAGCAGTTCCTTTGAGACCCAATTTCAATGTCAAACAGTTCCTTACGTGTACATTTCAGTTCTGGTTGGTGGGCAAATGGTGGTTTTTCATTTCTTTTGCGAGCCAAATTTTTAAAATCTAAACTTCTTCTAACGCCACTTCTTCAAAACAGACTGGCCCAGGCCGTGGTATTTTGTGCAAGAGCCACATTCGAAATCTCTGAACAAAGCCTGGCAGGGAGGGGGGGGGGCTTTTGTTCCTGTGACCCCCCATGGCACAGACCGCTGGGGCCTTACCCACACCTCCGGGCTGTCCCCGGCCGCTGGCCACGCTCCGCCAGGGGAAATGCTGTTCCCGTTCCGCTGACAGAGCCTCCCGGTCCCGCTCAGACCAGTCCATCCCATGGGCTTCTTGGCTGGAGACAGGCAGACCGCATCATCACACTTGCCTGTGGCAGAAAGCCTGTGAACGGACGGCTCCTGTGCCCGCAGACGGGTGACAGGTGCCCCGGGGCCCCTTTGCCTTCAGCCTGGTGCCTGGTGCCTGCGTGTGCTCAGGCTCCTCCTGCAGGCGGCAACCCCCCTCCCCCAGCTCTGGGCCCTGAAAGAATTGGGCCCCCCCCCCCCCCCGGGGCCATGTTCTCGGTGGTGGGGCCACCCCACCAGGTGGCCCATGGCGGGCGGCCGTAAGTTCCTGCAGGAGCCACCCCCGGGACCGGCTCCGTCTTGTCTTGCCCTTCCAGTACCCGGAGCAGGAGGTCGTGAACCTCTTCATCCCCACCCAGGCCGTGGGGGCCATCATCGGCAAGAAGGGCACGCACATCAAGCAGCTGGCTCGGTTTGCGGGCGCCTCCATCAAGGTAACTCGTCTCTCTCCTGGCGTCTGTGCCCCACCCGCTCCCGCCACCGCCACCAGCGCCCCCGTGCTCCTGCGGTCAGTCCCAGGACGGCACCGCCTTCGCCAGCCAGGGACGGAGCCTACAGAACTTTCCCGCCCGCTGCTCTCCTTTACCGCCCTCGTTCCTTCGTTCCTTTCTTGTCGGACTAGCCGCTGCATTAGGGAAGATACTCAGAGCACAGGAGCCGCCCCCTTCTCCCCGGGTCACCAGGGTCCTGCCCCGAAGGCTGAGGCCTCTTCCCAAACCAGGGTGGTGAACCTAGACAGGCCATCATTCACGCTTCGTGGTCAGCGCGTGGAGGCTTTTTCCCTTGGTCTCCGCCTCACAAACCCTCCACCTTGGGAAATAATAGCTGGAAGGAAAAACACCTCGAAAAGCAGTGGGTGAGAACAAAAAGCCGGTGGCAGGACCTGACAGGAAGCCTGGGCCTGCAGAGAGGCAGGCAGGAAGGAAGGCCCTGGGATTGGCGGGCGGGGCTGGAGCGCAGGCCTCGCGGCTGCCTTTACCCACCCACATCCTGCCTCCTGGAGCCCGAGGTTCGGGGAAGCTGAGGGGGAAGGATTCCTCGGCCCTGGTCCCGGGCCAAGCCCCCCCGCTATCAGCTCGCACCCGCGGGCAGCATGCTGGGCACGTCCCGAGCCTCACGAGACACTTTCGGAAACAGAGGTCCCATTGTTACCTAAGATAACGCGCTGCCATGCGAGGACCCGGAATTCCGCCCAGCCAGTCCCGTGACAGAGAGAGAGAGAGAGAGAGAGAGAGAGAGAGAGAGAGAGAGAGGAGAGGGGAGAGGGGAGAGGGGAGAGGGGAGAGGGGAGAGGGGAGAGAAGAGAGAAGAGAGAAGAGAGAAGAGAGAAGAGAGAAGAGAGAAGGAGAATGCCTGCGCTCTCCCTGAGAACAGATGGGTCTCTCCCTCAGCGAGGGTGCCGCAGCGGAAAACCAAGGCCAAACCTCTGGGTCGGGCAGAACAAACATCGCAGCGAGGGCCTTAAGGAATTTGTGTAGGGAAATCCTTTCCCCTCCCAGGCCTCGTTTACCCGACCTGTGGACCTGTGAAGTAGACAGGACCCCTTTGGGGGCCGGGGGGGGGGGGGGAGGGAGGAGGGGAGGAGGGGGGGAAACACAGTGGTGTATCACATGGGGGGGCATGGCACCAGCAGGTGCGCTGCAGGGAGACCCGGTCCAGGCTGTGCTGGCCCCGCCCCTGAGCAGGTGTGGGAGACACCGGGCTGGCTGCACCCCCAGGCCCTATCCCAGGGTTCAGCCCTGTGGTCCGAGATCCCATGCAGGAGACAATGACAGGATTTTCAACTAAAAAGGACCTGAGGGTCATCTCATCAAATCCTCCTTTTTCCCCCTAAGGGAGCGTTGGAGGTAGAGGCAGCCAAGGCCGGCAGGAACAGGCCTGGCTCTTGGGTGTAAATTTTGAGCATTTTACGGGGGCCAATTGCAGAAGTTAGAAACTGGGACCCAGGTATTAACGAAGGCTGCAAAGCTAAAGAATGTGAGTGCCGCCCTAGCCTGTTTAGCTCAGTGGATAGAGCGTTGGCCTGAGGACTGAAGTTGTCCTGGGTTCAGTCCTGGTCAAGGGCACATGCCCGGGTTGTGGGCTCGAGCCCCAGTAAGGGGGCGGGGGAGTGTGCAGGAGGCAGCGGATCAATGATTCTCTCTCATCATAGATGTTTCTCTCCCTCTCCCTTCCTCTCTGAAATCAATAAAATATTTTTTTTTTTACAAAAAGAAAGAATGTAAATGCCAAGATTTGACCAGGTTATGCTATTTTTCTGGCCCAGTGTTTTTCCGTATAGCCACCTGAGGGCTAGGCCAGAATCCCTCCCCGCAGTCCTCTCTGGAACCGAGAGTGAGCTCAGCCCCTTGGGCTTCACCCCACGGCCTCTGCGCCCGGGAGCGGAGTGGTGGCCTCTGTGCGGGGCAGAGCCGGGCGGCCCGCGGACAGGACAGGCTGCAGCCTGGCAGCGCACAGATGCTCCTTCTGCTGGGCCAGCAGCCCGCTCCCTCCCCAGCCCTGCCTCTCTCGGAGCGGAGAGGAGAGAAAACCAGGGGAGCCATGTGTCTGAGAGAAACTGCCCGCTTTTCCAAATCGGCCTGGGCTTCGCTAGATCGCCTTTACCCCGAAAGAAAGAGTCTGTCTCTGAAGCAAGTCCTCACACCAGAGAAGCCCCGTCCGGCCTCCCCAGTCCCCGAGTCCACCCCGGGGCCCGCGGGGGAGAGCTTCCCACTTCTAAGGCGACCAGACCGTCCCGCTTTCGGCCGGACAGTCCTCCTAATTTTCAACCATTTTTCCCGCGTCCTGCGGCGTTTTAAAAAAGTCCCGATTTTTGGAAAGAATCTTTCTAATCTTCCCAATCTTTCCAAAAATCGGGACTTTTTTAAAACGCCGGGGGACGCGGGAAAAATGGTTGAAAATCAGGAGGACTGTCCGGCCGAAAGCGGGACGGTCTGGTCACCTTGCACTAACCAGTCCCCGGAAAGGATGGGTGGCACTGAGGTTGGGGGGGAGGGGGTTGCACCCCAGACGGCTCTGGTTACAGGCAAGAGCCGAGCTCCCACTGCTTCGCTGCGCAGCACCTGGTCCGCGGGCTTCAGGGCGCCACACAGAACCCGGGCGGCAGGGCCAGCGGGGACACCCAGGCCCTGGTCCTGCCACAGCCCCGGCGCCCTGTGACCGTGGCCGCCCCCTCGCTCGTCTGGGGCCCATGTGCTTCCGTCATAAAGGGAGGTCTTCACTCCCGGCCCTCCAGAGGGGCCTGCAGAACGCCCTCCCGCAACCCCTGGTCCGGGCTGGCGAACGCCAGGCAGTGGAGGGGTGGGAGCGAGGCAGGCACCAGCCACCGGGAAGCGGACGGGCCAGCAGACCCGATATGGTGGGCTGTTTCGTGCAGCAGCTGCCTCCGGGCACCAAAACTTAGCACCACAGTTACTTTCCTGCAAGCCGGCTCCATGCAGAGGCCTCTGTGGACCAGTCCTTCCTCCCCTCTGGGCCGTGGGTCCATTGGCACCGTCTGTCCCTCCCTTTTCCTAGAGCTTTTGTGTTTTTATTTTTTTGTTGTTTTTTAAAAAAATATATTTTATTGATTTTTTACAGAGAGGAAGGGAGAGAGATAGAGAGCTAGAAACATTGATGAGAGAGAAACATCGACCAGCTGCCTCTTGCACACACCCCCACCCCCCACCGGGGATGTGCCCACAACTAATGTACATGCCCTTGACTGGAATCGGCCCCGGGACCCTTCAGTCCGCAGATCGACGCTCTACCAGTGAGCCAAACCGGTTTCGGCTTCCTAGAGCTTTTGACGCCCTTGGTGACAGGCCAGGCTCACAGGTGGTTTGGGGCAGGAGCAGGCAATGCCTACTGGTCTGCTGCCAACTTCCTGAGCAGCCAGACACCCAGGGACGTCCTGTGCCCCGGAGCAGAGGCAGGGGGGAGACGGAACAAGGGTGGGAGCCCTGGAATCCTTGCTGGCGTGCATGCCGTCCACGGAGACGGGAGAGGGGCCGGGGCCGCAGCAAAGCCTTGTCCTTTCCCGGCACCGCAGATCGCCCCGGCGGAAGGCCCAGACGTCAGCGAGAGGATGGTCATCATCACCGGCCCGCCGGAAGCCCAGTTCAAGGTCGGTGCGGTCCTGGGAGAGGCCGGGAGCGGCCCCCCACGCGTGTGCACGGCTCCCAGGGCGGGTGTGCAGCTGCCGGCTCCCCGTTCCCGCAGCCACACTGCCAACCCGCGGACTGGCCGCCGTGCGAACCGCCCGTCCTGTCTCACCTTCTCAGGCTCAGGGGCGGATCTTCGGGAAACTGAAGGAAGAGAACTTCTTCAGCCCCAAAGAAGAGGTGAAGCTGGAGGCCCACATCAGAGTGCCCTCTTCCACCGCCGGCCGGGTGATCGGCAAGGGCGGCAAGACCGTGAGTGTGCTCAGCGCTGCCGGCATCGCGGCGGACTTCCCTCCGGCCCCGTGGTGCTGCTGGAGCCCAGGGCATGTGCCCAGGCCACCGGGGTCCTGTGCCCAGGAGCTCCGCCTGGGGACCTGCCTGCCGGGGAATGGTCCCCACCCCCTGAGCACGGAGGGCCTCCTGCCTCTCTGTGACGCACGCAGCAGCAGGAAACCGACAGGGAGGAGAGCCCCACCCCGCACACACCCCTCTGGCTGACAGCCTGGAGTGTCCTACACTCTCTCTGTTCTTCAGACGCCCCCCCCACAGACGCCCAGAGGCCCGGACGCTCCCCCCTGCAGATTCCGTCTTCCCGTTATTTCCCAGACCTGGCCGTCTGGGCTGCAGCGGGGACTAGTTTGGCAGCAGGGTGGTGGGTGAGAATATTTTATAATAAAATATTGAGGGTTTTAAGCCTGAAGGTGGCGTTACCACAATGCAATTTGAAAAGCCACAGAGAGTGAACTCTGCAGCCTTTAGACATGAATCGTCCGCCAGGCCCGGGTGTGCTCCAGAGCACAAACTGCCCACCTGGAGGGGACGTGGCCCCTGGGTGTCCCGGAGGGCCTGTGCTGGCCGCGTGCCCTGCAGGCTGGCAGGGGTTCGAGATGCCGCTGTGGGCCTGAGTGTGTGCGTGTGTGTGTGCGTGTGTGTGCGTGCGCGTGTGTGTGAGTGTGTGTGCGTGTGAGTGTGTGTGTGTGAGTGAATGTGTGTGAGTGCACGCTGTTTTCTTTAGATAAAAACTCTTCAAGGAATCACAGCCAAGTTCTAGATAGAACGAGTTACCTTCAGGCAAAAGAGTGAAGCCGTGTGGCATGCGTGTTGCTCCCCACATCCAGGGACACGCGCCGAGCTCTAGGCGAGTTGGCGTGCAGTGGGCAAACGGAAGCAGAGGAGACCGCAAGGGTGTAGAATCTTGGTCCTTCAAGGTCCTATTTGGTCACTTTAGAACCAGCCACTGAGTTCTGTGTGCACCTCTTCCCCCGTCAGCTGTCTGTCCCACGTGTGCGTGCTCAGCTCCGTACAGGGCCGAGGCCACGGCGCAAACCCTCCGGAGCTGGTGCTGCCGCGGCGTGAGGCCCCTGCAGGAGGCGGGGCTGAGATGAGGCGGGGCCCACGGCCTGGAGGCCTCACTAGGACACCTGTCAGGGAGAGCACAGTCACCCAGGGAGGAAGAGCGTGAGCAAGCCTCCGAGGCAGGAATGAGAAGGGAGGGTCCTCAGCTGTCAGCCACGATTCCATCCCTGGGTGATTGGGAGCCGGGGAGAGGGGGGGGGACAAGGAGCGTGGGGGGGGGGGGCCCAAGGAGCGTGGGCGGGGACCACTCTGGTGGGAACTGCAGAATGGAAATTCAGCCCCAGAGCAGCTCCATGGACTCGGGGGATGGACTCCCTGTCCCTGTCCTGGAGCCTCCCGGGGCCCCAACCAGCAGGGCCCCAGGTGACCAGGCCGAGGAAGGCCCAGGAGGGTGCCGGACTGCAGGGAAGGTGGGCACCTCCACCTCCTTGCACTCCTCCCCTCCCCGCTCCCCCCTGAGCCCTCCTCTCTCCCTGCCCAGGTGAACGAACTGCAGAACCTAACCAGCGCAGAAGTCATCGTGCCTCGCGACCAAACGCCGGATGAGAACGAGGAAGTGATCGTCAGAATTATCGGGCATTTCTTTGCGAGCCAGGTACCGTGCTGTGAGGGTGTGGTCCTTCTTGCCAGTCTCTTTTCGACTCTGACTAAGAGAGTGGTGGTCCCTCAAGTGAACCCGCCCCTGCACATACCCCCCCCCCCTGCCCCCGGGGAGGAACCTCTCCCTGCCCCTCTGGCGCCACCACAGGGCACCGGCTTCCCCACCTCTCACCACCCTGCCCCCGGGCAGGCCCCAGGACCTGAGGGTAGGACTTTGGAGCCAAGCCAAGCACCTTTTAAGCCCCGAAATGCTCAAGTGTGAGAACTCGGCTCCCCGCGCCCTCAGGCTCAGGGCTGGCAGCCTTCCTCTGCGGGGAGACACCCCCGAAGGGCCCGCCCTTAGGGTTCCTGACGGCACCCTGAGAACCATCCTGGGTGCCAAAGCCTCACCATTCAGGGTTCAGTGCTCCTTACAGCAGGCTCTCATAGCTCTTACCTCTTGTTTTCGTCATTACTGCCACCACGGCCACCACCACCACCCCACCCCCAGGACACAGAGCCTCTCAAACACAGCTGCTTCTCTTTCATTCGGAAGGGCCAGCTCTTTTTGATGCTTTTGGTTGGCTGGGTTTGGGGATCAAGCCATCTCGGTCCTTGTGTTAAGCCCACAAAGGCAGTCTAAGCTAAGCTGACATCCAAGGTGTGTCTGAGCAGCCAGCCAACTCTCCCAAGGCTTTGCCTTAAAAAAAAAAAATTATATATATATATATATATATATATATATATATATATATATATATATATTTCAGATAGGGAGAGAGAGATAGAAACATCCATGATGAAATGATGAGAGGGCACGTCCCTTACTGGGGATGAAGCCTGTAACCCAGGCATGTGCCCTTGACTGGAATCGAACCTGGGACCCTTCAGTCCGCAGGCCGACGCTCTGTCCGCTGAGCCATCTAGGGCTATGTCTTTGCCCTGAGACCTGACTGTCCCTGGAGAGCACCTGCCCCCGGGGCTGCCCCACCGCAGCGCCCCCGGTGCCCTGGGCTGTCTGAGGGGCAGGCTCCCGCAGTGGGAGGGCAGCCCTGGGAGCTGTGTGCGCAGTTGGGAGGGGGCTGCTCTCTGACCTCTGCTTTTCCCCCGTCACTGGCTTCCGCTTCCTGGCCTATCTGTCCAGCAGCTAGCTGGAAGCTTTGGAGGTCCCGCCCCCTCGTCCTTGACCCTGCAGCCTTGAGGTTGAGCGGTAGGGGGCGGGGGGTAGGGGGCCCTCTACCACTTCACTTGCAGGCAGAAGAGGACCCATAGAAAGAGTGGGTGACACTTGGCCGAGCTTAGCACCTCCTTTCCCCAAGGCTCACCCCCAGGGCTCATCCTGAGAACGGGGTTCCTTTTCTCCGCCCGCCCCCTCCTGCTGCAGACTGCCCAGCGCAAGATCAGGGAAATCGTGCACCAGGTGAAGCAGCAGGAGCAGAAGTTCCCTCAGGGAGTCACCTCGCCACGCAGCAAGTGAGGCTCCCGCAGGCACCAGCGAAGCAACGGGTGAATGTAGCCCTTCCAACACCCGCCAGAACGAGACCAAACACAGCCAGCCGGAGCGGGAGCAAACCAAAGACCATCCTGAGGAACGAGACGTCTGCGGAGGCACAGGGCTCTCTCTGCAGAGGCCCCAAGGACCTGGGGGCCAGGAGGTGGGGGGGCGGGGAGGCCAGCGGCTCCCGGCCCGGCCCCCCCACCTCCTCGGGCCCCTGCAGGCCGCCCAGCCTGCCGCCTCCTTGCCCGCTCGGATCTCTCCGTCACTCCCACCACGCTATCCCTTTTAGTTGAACTAACATAGGTGAAGGTGTTCAAAGCAAAGCAAAAAGTCACACCCTTTTTTCCTTTTGTTGGAAACTTGTCTCTGTACATGTGTGTACATAGTAGAAGGGGAAAGATGTTAAGATATGTGGCCTGTGGGTTACTACCCAGGGTGCCTGCGGCATTAATATATTTTAGAAATAATATATCAAATAACTCAACTAACTCCAACTCTTAATCAAGTATTAATTTTTTTTTCCTTCTTTTGAAAGAGAAATCAGGCTTTTCTAGACTTTAAAGAATATACAGTCATTCTTTGGGAGGTCCCACGGGTTAGTAAGGAGCTCCAGGGCCAACCACACACATCCATCCCAGAGGGCAATCCGGTCAGGACACTCTCGGCAGTTCCGGGCCACCTGTGTACGTCAACGGAAGGGATACCGTCCGAAGAGGAAACTCTCCCCCTTGTCCAGCTCACATCCATTTCTCTTCGCTTCACGGGTTTTAAACTGGGTTTTTTGTTTTTTTTTTTTGGTTTTTTTTTTTTTTTGCATACTGCTCTATAATTCTGTCTTTGTTTCTCTCTCCTCCCCTCCTCTCCTTCCCACCCCATTCCCATCCTCTTAGTCCCCCACCCTCTGCCTCAGTCCCACTCTCTGTGCACCCCCAGGCAAAGCAGTGCTCTGAGTATCACATCACACAGAAGGAACAAAAGCGAACACACAAACCAGCCTCCACTCACACTTGGTTACTCAAAAGAACAACAAGAGTCAATGGTACTTGTCCTAGCTTTTCAGAAGAGGAAACAGGAACCCATCAGACCAAACCCAAACAAAGATAAACCCCTGCAAAGAAAGAATATATTTTGTCTATATTTTACATGTTGGTATATAAGCCATCCATTTTCTGCAAAATGATTTCTTCCTTTTGGGGGGGAAAAAAAATGTGGAAGAGAAAATAGCAATTTACATGAGGTCGTTGGCCCAGGGCGTTAAATTTACAGATTTTTTTTTTAAAAAGAGAAAAACACACAAAAAAAAAGCTACCTCAGGTGTTTTTTACCTCAGCACCTTGCTCTTGTGTTTCCCTTAGAGATTTTGTAAAACTGATAGTTGGAGCATTTTTTTATTTTTTTAATAAAAATGAGTTGGAAAAAAAAAAATACGCTATCAGCTGCCAGCCCGGAGAAGGTGACCGTCCAGTGTGCACTGCCCACTGTGCTCACCTCCCGCCAGCCAGAGCCCATGTGGCCTTCTTTTGGACAAACCTCGAAAACGTTTATTAAAAAAAGAAAGACGACCCAGAGACACAGAGAAGATGGTGGAGATGTCCTGAATCTCACTAGGGTACGTGCCATTAGGGCTTTTGCGCTAAAGGATGGACATGTACTGGTTTCTGTGAACAAGCCATTGTACCATCAGACTGCAATGCCAGTTTCCTCTACTGCAAACAGTGTTCTGTGATAAAAACAAAAACAAAACAAAAAAAAAGAAGTATATCCAGCTAACAAGATCCCGGTGTCTTGGTCTCTTATTTCGAGAAGCATTGCCTGCCCCCAGGGGTCAGCCGAGTCCAGCTCCGAGGGGACTTGGGCAGCGGGTGGCCCGTGCCTTCAGGGCCGGCGGCTCCTCCCGGGAGGTGGCTGGGAGAAGCCAAGTGTGGTCTCCTGACCAGCAGCATCATGTTCCGGGGAAGGTTTTTTTGTTTTTGTTTTTTAAAATATATTGATTTTTTACAGAGAGTTAGAAACATCGATGAAAGTGAATCATCGATCAGCTGCCTCTTGCACCCCTCCCCCCCCTACTCCATCCCCACTGAGGATGTGCAGCTCCGGGGAAGTTTTTAGGAACGCGGGTTCTTGGGTTCCACCTTGAATCGAATTCTGGAGTCCCGTCCCCCTCCCCCCCTCCTCCCCGCAGTCCGTTTCAGCAGGCGCCTCCAGGTGACTCCATTGGTGCTCAGGTTTGAGAACCACAGAACCAGAGGGATGTGCTGTGTATCAGGCAAGGTAAGACCAGCCCTGTCCTTGATGGACTTGATGCCTGGCCAGGGGAGGAGTTTATCTTCCTGGGGGAGCAGAGGGAGGATAATGTGCCTGACAATCCAAGGGAAGCGGTACCTCCCTGCTCCCCAGAAACCACGCTGAATGTGTTCCAGGCGATCTGAACAGGAGGATGAAGGCAGTCCTGCTCTCTTGAGCACATGTGCTTAGAGCCGCGGGCTCTGCCGTAGATTGCTGGCTGCTAAAAGCCCAAACAACTCAGGAATGAAGAGTTGATACTTGACTGCCAGGGGTGGTCCGTCAGGCTTTTGGGGGTGACAGCTCCAAGCCCAGCAGAGATAGGCGGAGGTGAACTGATGGGGTCCACAGTGGCCACATCCCCCTTTAACAAACAGGGTTCCTCACTCACTTAAAATGTGTCCTTTGCCTATGGCCCCTCCACACTCCAGATTTCTCTTTTATTTTCAGTATCTGTGATGCTGATTTTAAAGTTTTTTTGTGTGTGTAAAAGCCAGAGGTTCCTCGCTGCTGTGGTTGGCATTGGCTATGGCAGGGACATGCTGTCCCCTCATGTGGCCATTAGAAACCCAAGTATCTGTGGCTTCATCTCCCTCCCCACTCAGGACTCAAGCCCACTGGCCTCAGAATAGGAAATGGAGCGTCGTCTGCTGGCCTGAGAGAAGCCGGGCTCCTGACAATCGGGGACATTTCCAAAAACGGTTCCCCGGGTTGAGGTGTACATGTCAGAGGAACAGCCAGAAAAACGGCACGCCCTTAAAGGAAGGGCTTTAAATATGGGCCCCGGGGCTTGGTGGTGAGCCTGTCAGGATGCAGAGGAACTGGGCAGGAGAGAAGAGTCAATGCAGGAACCCTCTTGGCTCTGCTGCTCAGATTTCCTTCCTTGGACTTTATTCAGGTGGCAAAATTAGAGGTTTAACTCCAGCTCCTAAACTTCCTGTTTCCAAAATACGTGTCTGAACATATGAAAGACAGGTGAGGTGCTAACAGATGCCCTACTTCCCATGAGACAAAGCACCCAGAAATTGTCCCAAGGCTGCAGCAATGGGGCGGGGAGTGTGGAGGGGGTGTGCTCGCAAATGGAGAGGCAGGAATGAGGCCAGCAGGCTTGTTCCTAGCCAAGGTTTTCTCTCAGCCGTTTTCTGAGGGCTGGGGTGCTGGGTGGTTTGGCACGTGATGCAGACACTCCTGAGCTTCCCGAGGGCAGCGTGAGCTGGAGACCATCCTTACAGGACGGGGCCCACCACATCTTACCTACGTAAGAACAGCTGCCCGTGTGTGCCTGGTTCACCACAGGAGGACTTAGACAAACTATTTTTTTCTATGAATCCCAGACTTTTCTCCTCTTGACATGACATCTTGGCATTCCAGAAAGCCCTAATTGAGCATGGTTTTATGAAAAAGTAAAATGGCAGTTGTTGAATGGAGACTTGGGTCAATACAAAGGTTTTGAAACTCACTAGCCTCTGAGATTCAAAAAGCCCCTCCCTGCTCCTTTGGATGGAGCCCCCTGAAAACCCAAGACCCACAGTGGTTTTGGCGGTGCTAACGTCTCACTAGGTGTGTGGTAAGGAGGCCTGAACATCCCTTCTGTCCCAGTAAGTCCCCCCACTACTCCAGCTTTGCCTCGAGAGGACTCCCTCCAACATGGAGTTCTGCACGGGAAGGATGGCAGGCTGGCTGCCGAGTAGACGAGGGTTCCAGCGGAGAAGTTATAGACGTGAGAAAAGGGAGAATCAATAGAGATTAAGGGGGGGTTCAACCAAGAACCAAAGGAAACGAGTAACCACAGATAGAAGGCATCTTGACAGGATGGGCAAAGGTGGGGAAAAACACTGGACCTCGAAGGGAATCAGGGCTTCCACTTGGGATGGAAGTGACTCAGTGACTGAGGAGACAGATATGTGGTAAGGACTGGAATTTGAAAAGCTTTTGGCATAGTCATTCCTACATCCCTGGGGAAGGAAGTAGGCAAGAGAAGCATCCCTATGGTAACAATTCTGAAAAGCCCACACCGCAGGTATTTATAGAGATTAGCCTGAATTGTATACGCATCCAAATCTCTCATTGTCTACAGCCTGATGGAGATTTCTTTGGCCTGCTACCACTAGCAAATTCTCCTGATGTTTACTGTCAATTTTTGCTGCTGCTTCTTTCAACATTCCCCTTAAGGTGCTGGTGAATTAAAATTTAAGGCTAATTTTCTATTCTAGCTCCCATCAGCCACATCCAGGTGCTGTCCTTCTAGAAGCCAGGAGTGTTATTAGCTCTCTCAGGAAGAGCTGGTATAAAGAGAAAACCTCAGAGAACAAAATTATACTCCAGGTTGGCCTCAGTGCTCCTTGTATTCTCTTGTGAAAGCACAATGCACAGATGCAAGGCAGCTTGTTCCCACGAGTGACTTTGAGGGCACTGCCTCTAACCTCAGATGTGGCTGACAGACAAGAACATTCCCATTTGCCTCCGATAACCTTTAATGATCAGGACAACCAAAGACAATTATTTATTTTATTAGTTTCCTGAGATTACTGTGGCTACGACAAGTTTGATGGATTAAAACAACAGAAATTTATCTTCTTACCGTCCTGGAGCCCCAAGTTCAAAATCAAGGTGTTAGCTGAGCCATGTTCCCCCTGAAGGCTCTGCCAACTTGGATGGCTCCAGGCTTTCTTGGCTTGTGGAAGTAATACTCCAATCTCTGCATTCAGTCTCATCGCCTCCTCTTTCGTTAAGAACAAATATAACCACCTCCAAACACAAGTGTGTAAAGTAACAGAGCCTGCCAGGATCACCATTACTATAAGACTGGTGTCTTTCTCCAGATTTTGTTTTAGATGCATAAACAGATTCCCTCCCCCCCAAAAAAATGGGTATAAAATTCAACATTGCCTAGGCCCATTTTATTGCCTCCTCTTCTGTCTCAAAATTCCCTGTTTTTCTCTTATTCAGCATGTAATTGCACTTAAGCATGTAAAGGCCTACCCAATAATCCAGGGTAAATTCCTCATGATCTTTAACTTAATGACATCATTTGCCATAGAAAGTAATATTCAGTGTGGTGATTGTGGGGGAGGGAGGAGAGTGGAAGTGGGTATAGGGGGATAAATGGTGACAAGAAAATAAAGTAATATTCACAGATTAAAGGGATATGGACTTAGGTTCTCAGAGGTCACCATTCAGCCCACTGTTTATCCAGATTAGAAGACTATAATCAAGTATTTTTGAAACAGAGAATTTTGAATATGAACTATTAGATGATATTACCAATTGTTAATTTTGTTAGATGGTAAAAATAACATGGGCTTTTTTTTTTTTTTTTTAAGTTAGGGAGACATTCTTAAGTATTTATCTAGAATGACATGTCGGGATTTTGCTTTAAAATACTCCATCCCCTCTTATCCCCTATGAATAAAAGATGAGTCAAGATGAGCCACATTCGTCCAAATGATGTGGCTCAGTGGTTGAGCTTTGACCCATGAACCAGGAGGTCATGTTTAATTCCCAACCAGACACATGCCTGGGTTGCAGGCTTGATCTCCCAGAGCAGCTGATCAATGATTCTCATCATTGATGTTTCTCTCCCCTCTTCTCCCTTCGTCTGAAATCAATAAAAAAAAAAAAAAAAAAAAAAAAAAAAGATGAGCCATTTACTAACTGTTGGAGGGTAATGATTGTGTATGTCTTATAAAATGTAAGTCAATGGGCGAAACCAAGATGGCGGCATAGGAAAACACCTAAACTGCCTCACACAACAATTTCAAAACTACAACTAAAAGACAAAATGGACATCATCCAAAACCACAGGAATGCTGGTTGAATGGAAATTATACAACTAGAAGTAAAGAAAAAAAGCACACTGAGACTTACAGGAGCTGTGGAAGGCAGAGGTATGGAGGTGCATGTGTAGAGAGGGCTAGCAACTGAGTATGTGACTGGCTTTCTCAATCGGGAGGGAGATAAAAGCTCCTGACAGCTCTGAACTCCAGTTCCGGGTGACTCTGGAGACCCAAACTCATACAGGGAGAAACTGGACTGTCTGCCAACAGGTAAAACTCGAGGGTGGCTTTCTCTCAGAGGTGCTTGCAGTGATGACCGTGGGATACTGAGAACCAAGGGCCTCTTAGGACAGGGCTGATGGGAAGCCATTGCTGTTTGCCCCGCCCTGTGATCCTGCCCCACAAGGCCATAGCTGTTTGCTCCGCCATGAGACTCCACCCCATCCAAGCTGAGTGCAGAGGCTTTTGTATATGAATGGCCTGATCCTTTGAATTTTAAACTTACAGAGAAGTCACCGAGACTCAAAACTTCCAAAAGAAGGCTCAACGCTCCACAGCAGTTTGCATTGCTTCACAGCTGGGCTTCATCTGGGCACCTCAAAAATACAAACTAGAGGAATCTGCAGATCTCTCCGTAACTCCTGCTGGGTGGCCTCAAGCAGAGGCT